ACACACTTGCTGTATGAGGAGATCAGGTTAAGTTTCACTTAAAGGGGTTGGACCCTTTTGAAGTCCATTTCTGGTTATATATAATTTGCAGAGGAATATTTGGTTCTTATTTGTTGAGATGCATGACCAAAGAAAGGAATTGTTTGGTGGCTCTGATGAAGCCCTAGGCGGGTGATGAAGGAGCTCTGGTCGTGCCCAGAGCACAGGCACAGTTGACCAGAACAAACACAGTGCTTGCTCCTCCAGAGGAGCCCAAGTTCTGTTTAAAATCTCATGGTGCTCTCACCCATCACACCACCAGCACTGTGATTATGGGGGGCACACGCTCTGTGTGCGGATGAGGGACCAGACGTGTATCCAGTCATAGCAGGCATGGAGCTCTTCACCAGAGCACCAGCTGTGCTAGGGGTAAGAGAGCTCCCAGGAACTTGGGGGGCGGGGGTTGGGGGGGTGCTGACACAGAGGCCTGCCATCATGGGTATGATACTGTCTACCTCTGCTGCAGCACGTGCTGCATCTGCATTGGCTCGGCCGCAATTATTCTGCTGTGAGGCAAGAATACCAGGTCCCGCCATTGTGGGAATGACGTCGTCCCCTCCCACCTACTGTCTGTCTGCTGGGCAGGTGAACCGCCGTTTCTTGGGAGGTAGGTTGTACTACCAGTGGGTCCAAGCACAGAGTTGGTGCCGCGACTTGCATTTCAATCGAGGCATTGTGGCCCGGCAGGCTGCAGGGGCTCTGTGGCAGGTGAACACACACATCTCTTGACACAAGGGTCTTCCCCACAGTAGTGGCTCTTCCACATGGAGCAATTTGTTTTGTGTAGATGGGTCCTCTGTGTGCTTACGGGTACGGGAAACAGCTGAATCTCCATCTTTGGGAACAGCATGGCCCTCTCCCACTCCTCCACCACCTGGGTTTTTGGCAGTTGACCCCTGCTGCTCATATTAAAGGGGGAGGCTGGCTGATCTCCTGACGAGCACCCCTTCTCCAGGATGGCAGCACTTTCACATGGGGGCCGTCGACTTTGCCTGGATGACCCCCAGGACACTTACAGGCCATGGAGACTGGAGAGCCTCCACCTGTGGGAAGGCTGGAGTCCCGGCCCACTGCACCACTGCCTGGATTTAATGGTGGGTCCGCAGTGCCTGCATTGAAGCTGGAACTAGGTTTCTAGTCTGTTTCTCTTTCCTGGATGGATATTGTCCCCGACAGGCTGATGCTTTTCACCGGACACTCCCTTTGTTGATGTCTCCTGCATACGGGGCAGCATGGGGTTGGGTGGGAGAGCACGGCTGCAGCTGTATGAGGCACGTCATCGCTGGCAGAGCCGTTCGAGCGGGTGACTCCGTGGCCTTCAGGGGAGGAGTTCATCAGAGTCTTGTGGGTGTCCTTCCTCAAAGTGTCCTCTGGAGAACTGGCATTCAGGTCCAAAGGTGCAGGGCTGCACTGCCGGGAGCTGAGACTTCACGGTGTATGACCGCAGACACGGGGTGTCCTGTCCCCACCATCCCGCCCTTGGGTCCCTACAAGATCCACCATGTTTTCTCTGTGATCTTTTTGGGCCATTTCCATCCCATTTGGGCACAAAAGTGGGAGGGACCTGGATGGGCCCAGCTCGCAGCCCCGTCTCCAGTCTCAGATGGCAAAAGCTGGAGAGTTAATTTTCGCCCCGGAGGAGGGATTCTTAAGGCTCTGAGTGCCCAAGCATCATCGAATTAGATGACAGCACAGGGTTATGTCGGAGGGTTCCTCCAGTTCACCAAAGGGAAGATGCCCAGACAGGTCCATGCAGCCTGCGCGATGGGCTACCGCCTCCTCGGCTCCACAGGAAAGCGAGCTGACAAAGGCCTGCGATCCCGGTGGGAGAGCCTGCGCCCAGGGCCCAGCAGGTGACGGAGCAGCGGGGTGGCCCCTGCCAGGTGGTGGATGGGCACCACGGGCGGGGCGGGCCAGGGCATGTCACGGCCAGGTAGGGCGGGGCGGGGGCGGAGTGGGAAACGTAGACACTGACGTGATTGCCCATATCGAGGGGGTTGTGCGCCAAAGCGTCGCCACGTTGGAGTGTAAAGCTGGAGACCCCGTCCCCCCCCCCCCCCCCCCCCCCAGCTTCTGACTCGTCTGAGGTGATACACGCACTGAGCCCGAGCGGCCCTGCCGGGCCCCAGCGAGGCGCCCCTGGGACACGTCGCAAAGAAGCGCGCGCACGCGCAGTGCAGCAAGAGCCCGCCGCTCAGGGGGAGGGGAGGCCCCAGAGCCCCGCCCCTTCGGCTCCCGCGCCTGGGACTTCCGGTCGCCAGCTGGGGGCTCGAAGGTGCCCGTTGCGCTTGTCGGGTACGCCCGTTGGCACGTGTACGCAGCCAGCAAGGCCGCCGATGGGGACCGTACAGGAGTGCAGGGCTCCTCGGGCTCCTCAGCGCCTCGGTGTGTGTCGCCAGCCTTTCCTCCAGGAGGGACGAGCTCTCGGCGGCGCCCCGCGCTGCGAGGGAGCGGCCCGCTGCCCCCGGACCTTCTCTGCCTCCCTGCGGGGCTTCGAGCCAGGTGCGTCCTCGCCGGGGCTGCCCAGGCTTTCAGCATCGCCCTCCAGACGGCGGCAGTTACCGCGCCAATGCGTGACCTGACTGCATGCTGCGCCCCAAGACCTCCCTTCCCGGCAGGCAGGTTCTTGCTTGCTTCCTTTTGAGGAATTTGGCAAAACAACATTTACAATTTAGACCGGCCCTCAGGTCACACAGGCGGTGGTGGCTGTGCTGGGAGTCAAGCCAGGTAGTGACTCCCAGAGCTCTAGCTCTGGACTGCGGGGCCTCCTTACCTTATATGCATCACGGGGCACCATGTTTTCTTTCTCTTTTTCCTAGTTCTGAGGGCGCTTAACGTGCTGCCATATGTACAGTGAGCAGAGGCACTGCCACAGACCAGGCCTTCCTGGAGCAAAAGCTCAATTCGTAAATTAATCAGGGACCACAGTGGGTTCTGATCTCAGAAGACGTAGGGCATGGGCCACCAAGGGTAAGCGTCGCACCATCCCACATCTGTGAGCCCTGTGCCTACATCTTCTCTTTGGTCTACTCGGAAGAATCCAGATATGTCAGATTATATGTAAAGACTGTATGTAAATATATCAAGATTATATTCCACATACGTTGTGGTCTACCTGGAAGAAATTCACTTGTGGATTATTCCATATGGATTAGAAGCCAGTTTCTCTGGCCTTCTAGGAATATGTCTAGTAAGGCATCACACTAATGTCTAGAAAGCAAATATGTTGTTTATTGTAAGTTAAGAGTGGGGCAATGTATCGGATTAAAGAAAAGTCAACCCAATTTGGTCGTTGTGAGCATGCCAGTCACGTTCATTCTTCACCTCACATTGTTGGCACTTAAACAGAATTCTAGAGATCCTTATGACCAAGTGGGGAGAGATCTGAATGGGGATTGGCAAGAGAAACCTGTATTATTGTCTGGAGCTGGAAGCTTCAGCATGAGGAAGAAGGCTTGAAAAATCTTGGCCTACATATGGCTTTACCTCGTTTGAATGTCGATTCTGTGGCTTAGTTCATCGAGGTGTTTTTTCTCTGATGACTGGATGTTACATATCCGGGACATGATGTGCATAAGTTTCAGAACCAAGAATCCTATAGATCAGTAAAAAATATACATTAAAAAGTTACATCTATACACACACACAGTAAAATCTTGGATTATGAGTAATTTGTTTCGCAGGTGTTCTGCAAGATGAATAGACATTTCTGATAAATTTTAACTTGATAAATGAGTGATGACTTGCAATACAAGGAGTACATGATGCCAAACATCACATGACAATTGAGCTAATGCTTCTCTCTCCCTCTTTCTCTTTCTCTGTCAGTCTCTCTATTTCTCTGAGGATTGTGGGTGATCGTCTCCCATGCTCCGATGCTCTGTCTCAGGGCATGTTTTTTTTTGCAGAAATCAGTGATTTTTCAGGACATTGGAAGGCGTCCACAACTGGTACTGCTGGATGTTTTGTCATGTCAAAGCGCCTATGGGCAGTCCTTTGCTTTTCCATACAAGAGTGAGCTTAGGAATACTCTGGTTTCTCGTCAGATCGTATAAATCTTTCACCTTTTACTAAAGAGTGAGCTTAGGAATGCTTGGCTTCATTCTAGGTCAGGCTGCCTGCAGATATAGAACCTTTCCTCTGCTGCCTTATTGCCAGTTACATAAAGCATATGACAAGAGCTTATTAATACTGTAGTGTAGTCAATGTTCATTAGCGATAATGAAACTCATCCTACACAATAACCCTTTTCTCTCTTGTCTCCTTTGCACCAGCCACGAAGGTTTTCAAAGGTAAGTACAGGTTAATTTGTTTATTTTTCTTTATATTTTGTATTTTCTTTTTTATTTTGTATTGTAGTGCAGTATTGTAATGAGTTTTATATTAAGATTTTTGGGTTTTAGAACAAATCATCTGAGTTTCCATTATCTGTTATGGGGAAATTGGCCTTGATAGACAAGTGCTTTGGATTACAAGCATGTTTCCGAAACAAATTATGCTCATGATCCAAGGCTTTACTGTACTTTTTTCTCATATTTAAAATAGCACTGGGCATAATTCACATATTACAAAATTAGCTTTAGTGCTCTGGTTATGAGAGCTTTTATAGTACGTTAGAGCAAACCTGGACTTCCATTCCCAAGAAACGTGGGGGTTGGTGGGACACAAAAGGTTTTGCTCAGACCCTAATTCTGTTTGGAAAAAAAAACCCAAACTATTATAAGCCTTTTCTAATCTAAGAGCAAAAATGATTTCCAGATAAGATATTTTACCAAAGTCCTTTGATATCGTTTGAGTTCAGTATGGAACAGTTTCTTGGTTGTGTTTGAACAGAAACAACAAGCTTGTACAAATTTGGGACAAAGATTTCTTACAAGAACTCTGAAAAAGATGTTGATGTCAGATATATCTGAAAAGAATAAATGACAATCATGTTATTTCCATCGTTTTATTTCCCAGGGAGGAAAAAATTAAGCACATGATGCGTGTTGGGGCTTCAGGACAATACGAGGGAATTTGGGTAAGGTTATCCCAGAAAAATCTCCCTCTTGACTTCTCTTGTCAAATGGGAATAGACAGATAGGATTCTCTTTTGGAATATAGACCATTCTCCTACTTGTCCTTAGAGGCAAAATATATTAGGTGGCAAGTGGTTATTCTGAGATAATTTGCCTGGGCAGAAGCAAACATGTTGAGACAGAACTTAAGACAAAATATTTTTAAATGATTAAGTTAATAAAAATATTTTGATAATAACCACAAAGTATAGTTGCCAGGAAGATTCTTTCTCATTTGACAATTTATGAGGCAACAATCTCCAGTTATAATCCATGAAGCCATGAGTGTGTTGTCTTGGATGGAGTTGGTAGTAGTGACAATGAACCAGAAATGACACCCTGTGGTTCAACGCTGGGTTTGGGATACAGCAAAGGCAGTACTAAGAGCAAAGTAAATTGCACTTCAGGCCTATTTCAAGAATCTACAAAAATCACAAACACAAAATCTAACAGCACACCAAGGAATAGAAGCAGAGTAGCAAGAGCACCCCAAACCCAACAGAAGAGAAATAATAAACATTAGGACAGAAATAAACAATATAAAATCCAAAGAAACAGTTGGACAGATCACTGAAATCAAGAGTTTTTTTTTTTTTGAAAAAATAAACAAAATTGATAAACCCCTACCCAGGCTTCTAGAAAAGAAAAGAGAGAGCACCCAAATTGACAAAATCGTGAATGAAAATGGATTTATTACAAGCAATCCCTCAGAAATACAAGTAATTATCAGGGAATACTATGAAAAACTGTATGCCAACCAACTGGACAACCTAGAAGAAATGGACAAATTCCTAAACAAACACGCACTATCAAAATTCAAATGGGAAGAGATAGAAAATCTGAACAGACCCATAACTAGTGAAGAAATTGATTCAGTTATCAAAAATATCCCAACAAATAAGAGCCCTGGGCCAGATGGCTTCCCTGGGGAATTCTACCAGACATTTAAATCAGAATTAATACATATTCTCAAGCTATTCCAAAAAATAGAAATGGAAGGAAAACTTCCAGACTCATCCTACGAAGCCAGCATTGCTTTGATTCCCCAACCAGACAGAGACCCAGTAAAAAGAGAGAACCACAGTCCAATACCCTTGATGAATACAGATTCAAAAATCCTCAACAAGATGCTTGTAAATCGAATTCAGCAGCATCTAAAAAGAATTATCCACTATGACCAAGTGAGATTCATTCTTGGGTTATAGGGCTGGTTCAATATTCACAAATCAATCAATGTGATATATCACATTAACAAAAGAAAATATAAAAACTATATGATCCTGTCGATAAATGCAGAAAAAGCATTTCACAAGATACAGCATCCTTTCTTAATAAAGACCCTTGAGAAAGTCGGGGTAGAAGGAACTTAAACATCATAAAAGCCATTTATGAGAAGGCCACAGCTAATATCATCCTCAATGGGGAAAAATTGAGAGCTTTCCCACTGAGATCAGGAACACAACATGGATGTCCACTCTCACCACTGTTGTTTAACATAGTGCTGGAAGTCCTAGCATCAGCAATCAGACAACAAAAGGAAATAAAAAGCATCAGAATTGGCAAAGATGAAATCAAACTTTCACTTTTGCAGATGACAAGATACTCTAGGTGGAAAACCTGACAGACTCCACCAGAAGCCTACTAGAACTGATCCATGAATTCAGCAAAGTCGCAGGGTACAAAATTAACATACAGAAATCACTGCATTTTTATACACCAATAATGAGGAAACAAAAAGAGAAATTTAAAAAAAAATCCCATTCACAATTGCACAAAAAAACATAAAATACCTAGGAATAAGCCTAACCAAAGATATAAAAATCTGTATGATGAAAACTAGAAAACTTATGAAGGAAATTGAAGAAGATACAAAGAAATGGAAAAACATTCCATGCTCATGGATCAGAAGAATAAATATTGTTAAAATGTCATTACTACCCAGAGCAATCTACACATTCATTGTAATCCCAATCAAAATTTCACCATCTTTCTTCTCAAAGCTAGAACAAACTATCCTAAAATTTGTATGGAACCACAAAAGACCCCGAATAGCCAAAGTAACACTGAAGAAGAAAACCAAAATGGGAGGCTTCACAATCCCAGATGTTAGCCTGTACTACAAAGCTGTAGTCATCAAGACAGTATGATATCGGCACAAAAACAGACACATAGACCAGTGGAATAGAATAGAGAATCCAGAATTAGACCCACAAACGATGGGCAATTAATATTTGACAAAGGACGAAAGAGTGCCCAATGGAGAAAAGACAGTCTCTTTAACAGATGATGCTGGGAGAACTGGACAGCAACGTGCAAAAGAATGAAACTTGATCACTTTCTTACACCATGAACAATAATAAACTCAAAATGGATGAAGGACCTGAATGTGAGTCAGGAAACTATCAAAACCCTAAAGGAGAAAGCAGGAAACAACCTCCTTGATCTCAACCGCAGCAATTTCTTACTTGACACATCCCCAAAGGCAAGGGAATCAAGAGCAAAAATGAACTACTGAGACCTCATTAAGATAAAAAGGTTCTGCACGGCAAAGGAAACAATAAAACTAATAGGGAACTGACAGAATGGGAAAAGATAGTTGCAAATGACATATCAGATAAAGGCCTAGTATCCAAAATCTATAAGGAACTCACCAAACTCCACACCCGAAAAGCAAACAATCCAGTGACGAAATGGGCAGAAGACATGAGCAGACATTTCTCCAAAGAGGACATCCAGATGGCCAACAGACACATGAAACAATGCTCAATGTCACTCATCATCAGGGAAATACAACTCAAAACCACACTGACATACCACCTCATGCCCGTCAGAGTGGCTAAAATGAACAAATCAGGAGACTATAGATGCTGGAGAGGATGTGGAGACACGGGCACCCTCCTACACTGTTGGTGGGAATGTAAAGTGGTGCAAACCCTCTGGAAAACAGTGTGCAGGTTCTTCAAAAAATTAACAATAGAACTCCCCTATGACCCAGCAATAGCACTGCTAGGAATTTACCCAAGGGATACAGGAGTGCTGACGCATAGGGGCACACGTACCCCAATGTTCACAGCAGCACTCTCCACAATAGCCAAATCATGGAAAGAGCCTAAATGTCCATCAAGAAGATGTGGTTTATCTGTACAATGGAATACTACATGGCAACGAGAAAGAATGAACTCTGGCCATGTGTAGCAACATGGATGGACCTTGAGGGTGTTATGCTGAGCAAAATAAGTCAGGCAGAGAAGGACAGATACCATATGTTTGCACGTATAGGTGGAACAGGAAGACTATGGGGGAGGAAAGGGGGAAAAGATAGTTGGAGAGAGGGAGGGAGGCAAACCATGAGAGACTCTTGAATGCTGAGAACAAGCTGAGGGCTGATGAGGGTGGGGGAGAGGAATGAAGGGGATATCAACACATTCTCAGGGAAGCAAAACTAAGAAAATTTGCTACCAACAGACCTATCCTGAAAGACTGTCAAATGAAGCTCTCGAAATAGAAAAGAAATGAAAGCAGCTAGAGCTTTGAAACATCAAGAGAAAAGGAGAATGATACACCAAAGTGTGAGTACATACAAAAGGCTTTCCCTCTCCTCTTGAATTTTCTACATTATGTTTAATTGTTGACACAAAAATTATAATATTGTGTGAGTCTTCATACATATAGAAGAAATATTTGACAACTGTAGTACAAACAAAGGAGAAAGAACGTTTTCTACATTCCATCTGAACGGATAAAATGGCAGCACCAGGAGGATGAGAGGAGTCACGTACATACGTGTCATGTAACAGCTAGGGAGAACCCTGAGAGGCTATGCAAAGAGATGCACTCAAAAACACTATATAAATCAAAATAGACTCTGAAAACTATTCAGGTAAACCATAGGAGGGCAGGAAACAGAAAACAGAAGAGCAAAAACAAACACAAAAAAATCAAAAAGCAGATTTTAACCCTCTCATGTCAATAGGATGTTACATATAAATGGTTATGAATACATCAATTTAAAGACAAAGATTGGCAGAGTGGATTAAAAAGCATGATTCAACTATATGCTGTTTATGGTAAACTCACTTTAAATATAATAATATAGGCACATTAACATTAAAGGACTATATCATGCAAACATTAATCAAAGGAAAGGAGGGGCTTTATTAACATCAGATAGAGTACACTTAATGGGAAATAAAATTTCTAGAGACAGGGATGTTAAATAATGATAAAAGGGTCAGCCCATCAAGAAAACATAGAAACTCTAGATATGTATCCACTGAAAAACTGCGTCAACATCCATGAAAGACAAACTGGTAGAGTTACAAGGAAATAGACAAATCCACATTCATCATTGAAGATTCCAAAAACGTACTGTCAGCAATTCGATAGAACTTTTAGACAGAAAGGCAGCAAGGATGTAGAAGAACGTAACAAGGATACCAACCAATGGGACCTAACTAACATTTACATGACACTCTACCCAGAAACAGAATACACTTTATTTAAACAGAATACACAAGATAACCCATATCTTATGATACAAAACAAATCTCAACAACTCATAAATACCTGGCATTATTCAGAGCGTTTTCTCTGGCTATGGTAAAATCAAAATAGACATCCATGACCAAAATTACAGACAATTCTCTAAACACTTGTAAACTAAACAGTACACTTCTGAATAATACATAGATCCGAGAGGAAATCATGGGAAGGAATTAAAAAAATACGCCTAACCAAATGAGGAAAAAAATATATCAAAATTTGGGAGAGTAATTAAAGCAAGGCTGAGAGTCAACATCTCAAGACTAAATGTATACATTAGAAAAAGGAAAATGTCTCCAATCAATACTCAAAAGCTCATGTCTCAAGAATGTAAGAAAAGAGCAGAGAAAACTGGAAAAAGGAAATAATAAAGAGCAGAAATTCATGTGATTGGACACAGAAGAATTACAAAGAAAATCAATGAAATGAAGAGTTGGTTCTTTGAAAGGTTGAGTAAAATTAACAAACATCTAGCAAAATGGACAATAAAAAAGAGAGCGAGAAAGCACAAAGTATCAACATCAGGTATTGGACAGGAGATGCCCACTATAGACATTGCAGACATTACAAGCTCAATAATAAAGAAATAATATGGACAACTCCACACAAATAAATTTGACAGATAAAATGAGAGAATTTCTCACAAAAGCACAAACTAACACAACTCACCCAATATACAAAGGATAATTTGAATAGCTTGAAACAGCTAAGTAAGATTTGTAATATGAGACTCTCAAAAAAGAAATCTTCAGATCCAAATGGCTTCACTGGAGAACTTTATCAAATACTGACAAGTGAATTCAACACAATCTATTGACGTAAATAGAATAAGAGGTGACACCCCCTAACTCATTTAATGAAGCTCGTGTTACTCTGATTTTGAAACCAGAAAAAGACAGTGTAACAAAAGAAAGCTGTAGACAAATATCCTCAAGAAGAGACACAAAAAGCCTTAAAAGACACACAGGATCTCCGTATTATGTTTCACAACAGCATGTGAACCTTCTCAATATATTCATCAGAAAAAAAGATTAAACAAAACTCGTTAGTCTAACACATGAGGCCCATGAAAAAATAGCCTGTATTGTTTTGTTTTGTTATGTTTACTTTGAAACACAGTCACGGATTATTACCTGTGTGCTTATATTGGGTGAACTTAACAACAAAATATATCAAAATGAACGTTTTTCCTACAGTTAAGTAAGTCTGTTTTGTGTAATTGACACAATAAATAATCTAAATTCAGAAAAAAAATAAGATAAACAGGCTGTTAATGTAGCACCACTGGACATATTTGATTAAGTAATGCACTCTTGTCAACTTTCCAAAAGAAAGGGTCATAGTCCTGGTGTGACGGGAGATATGATGGGAGATCCTGGCCCACCCGAGTTGTATCACATTAACAACAATCCCCAAAGGATTCACAATGATTTCTATCATGTAGCCCAGGACACTGGTTTTCTTAAACACAAAAGTGACACACTTTTCCCTCTTTCAATAAAAAGGATGTGTTAACCTTCACTTTAAAACAACAGCAACAAAGTCAACTTTCTTTTAACCGTCAGGAAAAATACCATTCAGTGAAACTGTGAAGTTAATAAAGAAATACACCTTTAAATTTATAACCGACAGCCGTCAGGGTCCTTTATTTTCAGGAAGGTGAGAAATCGTGGTTAGTTGCTTTATTCTCACTTTGAAAGAGCACAAAGTTCATAAATAATACGCTCAGGTGCAGCCAGCAAGTGCTCCAAATTTCTTGAAGCATCTGTCATTGCCAAAGCAATGCCCTGTTCCAGGTGTAGATTATTCCTGATGATTTATACATATTCTGAAACTCCCTCTAAAAGAGTCTGAACCATGGATGACAAATGTCTCTGCTCCTTTTTGGAACAAAGAATATGTGTCATTTAACTGACTTCTACCATTGTTTCCTCTGATGTGAGCATCCTTTGGCTGGATATCATATTCTCGAAAGAATAAGCTATAGGATTCCACAAAGAAATGTAAGTGATGAAAATACCACTTCATAGCTTTGTATTCTTAAAGGGATCACTAAATATTTTGGAGATAGAGAATTTCTGTCTATATACATATATACAGACATGCATGGGGTCGAGAGAGAGAGACAACAGTGTTCCTTATTACATCTGATAGATTCATGGAGAGCAATTGTAGAGTCTATTTACTAAGTTCTTCGGGAGTACAAATTGGACCAAGCATAATTTTTACACTTTTCTTGTGTTGATGTAAACTCAAAACATTAAAAATATAACTCTAGAGATATATAGGGTGAACACACGCCCAAGAATTGTCTACTCAATAGTGAGAGAATGATAGATAATATGGTAAAACACATTCAATGGCATTTGAGAAAATGGGTATTTATAACCATCTTTTATAAGTACGCTACAATAAGATTTCTAGACATAAAGCAAGCTGATATCCTGCAGGACGATAAAACAATCAAGCAGATTATCCCTTTCAACCTAGACAGAAATCACTAGCTTTTCTAGAAGACACAATTCTGGAAATTAACATATAACTTCACAGAGTCTGGGCTCAACTCAAACAGTAAGCAGCAAAGTCAAACACATTCTTAGCAAAATAAATGATCCTTGTATATGAAAAATGCGGATTAAACAATGCTCTAATAGAACACTGAAGGGACATGTCGTCTCCTTCAGCCTTATTTCAAGTTTGGACAAGGTTTCCTAACACTGTGCTTTGTACTATTCATGTACAATGTCACTATTAATAAGCCTGTATCCTAGTTAGCTTCATAAGGTGATGGAAACAAACAAAAAATTCTGATGAAAATCCTTAATGACCAGAGGCAGATTACATTCTTTTGGACTTCCACTCCAGTGCTATTCGAGTTATTTAAGTTTATATGGAACGGAGTCCTCTGTTCAGCAGTATTAGATGATCAATCAGAGTTCACTTGTAAAATTAATGTCCTCTCCCCCTAGGTTTTCATTCGGCTTATGTCCACAAAGAACCAGCATGCACAACCAGCCACCCTTGCTTGAGTCCTCGGAAGCAAGAAGAGCGAACAAATAGAAAAGCAGTTCAGCCAACTAAAAACAAGGGGAAACCTTTCAAACAAGGGCAACAAATGGCCTGGGGGAGAGTCTCTAGCCCGAGTCACACAGTGGCTCCACGGACCCCACAGCAGCTGGTTCCAGAGCACACAGTGACCGTTACGGCTCGTGCATGCATATAACTGGGAACCCCACTGACACAGGGCAGGTGTTTCAAACAGCATGATCCATAGACATACGTAACCAGAAAACGTAGTTCAGAGCCCAGTTCAGAGACACAACACAGAAAGTTACTAATTGTTAAGTTTTCCATTAATTTTTTTAAAATCTTGGGTAAATAAGGATTTTTTTAAATGTTTATTTTTGAGAGAGAGCATAAGGATGGGAGGGGCAGAGAGAGAGGGAGACACAGAATCTGAAGCAGGCTCCAGGCTCTAAGCTGTCAGCACAGAGCCCGACGTAGGGCTCGCACCCACAAACCATGAGATCATGAGCCAAAGTTGGACGCTTACCCAACTGAGCAACCCAGGTGCCCCTAAAGTTTTTCTTTTTTAAGATAACATTAAGCATTGAAGTTTCTATCATCTGAGAGCCAGATGCAGGGTTACTAAAATGGTGTGAGTTTCTTTTTTTTTTTTTGAAAGCTTCCTTCAAGTTCTAACTTAACCAGAACAAATCACTTTATTTCTCTCGACCTCAATTTCTTGATTTCTTTAATACCTTTTTATGCTGAATATGTTTATTTGAGAAAATGCAGAGTTAACTAAAATGCTATACGAGGATGGGTCACTATATTTAACTTCTGCCTTTAAGCCCAAACCATGTGAAGATGTCTGTACTAAGAAGGCATGGTCAATTTAAAGTCTACAAAAAAAAAAAAGATCAGTCTTAAGAAAATTTATTCAATTTATGTCACAAATTTAAAAAACATAATAGTTTATTTAAAGAGCATGCCTTTTGAAAAGCATAATCAGGAGTCAAGTCAGAGACAGATTCTGATTATAAACCAAAGTGAGGAACTTACACTTTTTTTTTCCTTCAAGTCTTCATTTATTTTTTTTTTTTAATGCTTTATTTATTTCTGAGAGACAGCGTGAGCAGGGGAGGGTCAGAGAGAGACAGAGTACAGAATCTGAAATAGGCTCCAGGCTCTGAGCTGTCAGCACAGAGCCCGAGGTGGGGCTTGAACCCACGAACTGTGAGATCATGACCTGAGCAGAAGTCGGATACTTAATGGACTGAGCCACCCAGGCACCCCTCAAGTCTTCATTTAAATGCTAGTTCCTTAACCTATCGTGTAATAATAGTTTCAGGAGTAAAATTTAGTGCTTCATCACTTACATGTAACACGCAGGGCTCATCAAGTCACTTTTGCTTTCGTATCCATTTCTGAAATATCTAATATTTGCATAGAGGATAAATGGCCACTGGAGAGAATTGTTGAAGCATGGATTTGGATGTCGAGAGCCAGTTTTACTCCAGGGATTTCTGACAAGTCCTGAACACAAGCGCTGTGATTCAGTGAAGAAAGGGCAGCCTTGATTGGCTTCACTGGCCACTGACACGGTCACCAAATTACTAATTAGCTTTTGTTGTTGTTGTTTTTTTAATGTTTATTTATTTTTGAGAGAGAGACAGAGTATGAGTGGGAGAGGGGCAAAGAGAGAAGGAAGCACAGAATCTGAAGCAGGCTCCAGGCTCTGAGCTGTCAGCACAGGGCCCGATGTGGGGCTCGAACTCACAAACCATGAGATCATGACCTGAGCCGAAATCAGACACTTAACCAACTGAGCCACCCAGCACCCCTGCATTTGTTGTTCTTATGTAGTTTATTTCACAGATCATCTGACACAGGTTATTCCCTTGACCTCTAAGAGTCATCGTCACCTAGGAAAAATATGTGGGGTGAGCTAACCCATAGCTGTGCCCTTTCCTGTTTTCAAACAGATCCTCAGGCAGCAAATATTTGTTTTCTTCCTTCTGCTTGATTTTGAGTATTTTTGCTCTTCCTTTTCTAGTTTTCTAAGATTATTGATTATAAAAATTGATTATTGATTTGAAAAAAGTTTACTACTATATGTTTTCCTCTCACCAATTGTTTTGGTGGTGCCTCAGAAATTTCGATACATTGTATTTTCATTTTTGTTTAATTAAAAATATTTTTAATTCCTTTTGAGAATTTGATTATTCTCATAGATTATTTAGAAGTGCCTTGTTTAGGGGCACCTGGCTGGCTCTGTTGGTTTAGCATCTGACTTCGGCTCAGGTCATGATCTCTCGGTTTGTGGTTTCGAGCCCCATGTCAAGCTTTGTGCTGACAGCTCAGAGCCAGAAGCCTGGTTCAGATTCTGTGTCTCCCTCTCTCTCTGCCCCTTCCCTGCTCATGCTCTCTCTCTCAAAAATAAATATTTTTTAAAAAGAAGTGCCTTGTTTAACTTCCAAAGAGATGTTACTGTCCTCATTCTGTTATTGACTTAGAAGTCAGTTAGTTCAGAGGTTAGTTCAGTTCCATTATGGCCTGAGAATATACTTTATATGATTGCAAATTTTTAAATGTGTTAAGGTTTGATTTATGACACAAAAAATATGGTCTATGTTGTCAAATACCCACTTAGACTTTAAAAGAATGTGTTCTGCCATTGTTAGGTGGAGTGTCCGATAAATGCCAACGAAGTCCAGCTGGTGAATGATACAGCCCAAGTGTTGGCCACAGACTTGGGTGGCATCTCCCCACAGGTTTCTGAAGTTCCCTCAGCACCTCCAAGCCCCCTGGCACCGCCCTCCCCAAACCCGCCCACCCTGGCGGTCTCTCATTCTGAGAACTTTTCACTCTGCCAATGCCATAGCTCTTCCCCCCTGGACTCCGCCTCCCTGTGCCAGCCAGCACGTCCGCAGGAGTAAATCTGGTTGGATGGAGGGCTCACTTCACATGCCCCCTCCTTTTAAGATCTATAATCTTGTATTTTTTATTGCATAGTGGTTCTGCATATTTTTCTGAATTCTGTGGTTGGTCATGACATATATTCTACCTAATATTTATTTTTTTAAAGGCTTTTCAATAATTTCACAAATAACTCATGGTTTTAGGCGTGGTCAGAATCAGAGCCCTTTAACTAACTTTTGGGAATGAAAGGTGAATCTTTCAAAGAGGGATCAATAAAATGTGAAATATCCCTCCACAACTCATGTTAGCTATGCAGCGCAATGGACGGTGATGGCGAGTTTCCACACACCGCTGTTTTCTGGCGTGGAGTTTTGTCATTTCTGTGTCCTGTCCTAAAGAAAACAGACTTTTAAGGAGACTTAGTTGTTTTTCTGACATTGTAACAAGACATAACAGTTCTAGAGCCGCTTGGAATATACCATGGGGTAACAATATAATAGTTATATCATCACCCTATAACCCACAACAATAGAGACAGTTGCTATGTTTTAAAAACATATTTAAAAAACACCCCGCTCCCTAGCTTGTCAATATCGTAAGCATATTGGAGAAGACTTATTCCCACTTGTGTTTTGAGTATTTTACCTTTTGCTCTGACTGATGTTTGCTATGGACAAAAACAGTTTCATAAGAAAGAGAAATCACAAGATCTCCAGCCATTTTCTTCCAACGTGTCCCCTCCTCAAAGTAAGTCATTTCTTAGCAAGGTTAGTATTAGGCCTAGCAATTGAAATTTTGGCTACTAGAATCAAGATTGAACGAGGAAATATACCTTTTTTTTTCTTAACTTTTTTTTTTTAAATTTCTGAGAGAGAACAAGGAAATATACTTTAGAAGAGCTGGAAATAACCGCATGACTGCACAGGTGATTAGATAGCCACACGTTTAGAATCACGTAAAACACTGTGTTGGGCTTCTGTGGACAAGACATCACGGGACTAGTCCATTGGTAACTTTCAGTGGAAAGAGCATCACGCAGTACAAATTAAAAATGAGGCCTCTTCGAGCATAAAATCATTTTTATTCACTACCAACTATATAAAAAATAGAGGTGGACAGCCTATGGCCATACCACCCTGAATGCACCCGATCTTGTCTGATCTCAGAAAAAATAGAGGTGGACATAAAAGAATGTTTATTTAAGAAAATGCTCATGACATCATCTTCAAAGAAAAACGAAAATATACATGGGTTACCATTTCATTTGTTAAAAAAAAAGTTTGTGAAAATTTAGTTCTGTATTTGTCAACACAGGATTTTCATTGATGGTCACTTTTTTGGTCAAATTTAATTTTTCCCTGTATTGTCCAAATTATATAAAATGACATGTATTTACTTTTCTTTTGATTCAAAGTGAGAGCATTTTCCTTTAAAGGTGGGGTGGGGGGGTACTTTAAAAATAAAAACAGTTTAAAGTATTGTGTGAAATGAAAGAAGCCAGACACAAAAGGCAAGATAATTACAAGATCCCATTTATATAGGTGTCCAGAACAGACAAATCCATAGAGAAAGAAAGTGAATGAGTGGCTTCCAGGATTGGGGGGTAGGGGGGGAATGGTGTCACTAAATGCAGAGTGACTGCTATTTATGTAAACTACAGCTTAACAAAAGTTCAAGTAAAATTTTTTAGAGCAAGATAATATACTTTAGTCATCATTTATTGCTACTCATTTCTTTTTTTTAAATTCAATATTGTTTTAATGTTTACTTATTTTTGAGAGATAGAGCACGAGCAAGGGAGGGGCAGAGAGAGAGGGAGGCAGAGAATCTGAAGCAGGCTCCAGGCTCTGAGCTGTCAGCACAGAGCCCGATGCAGGGCTCAAACTCACAAACTGTTAGATCATGACCTGAGCCGAAGTCGGACGCTTAACCAACTGAGCCACCCAGGCGCCCCTATTGCTACTCATTTCTAATCTGTTTATTTTTAAAAAGCCTTAGTAAGGTATAATTCGCATAATATAAAATTCAACCATCAAAAATAGACAATTCAGGGATTTTCACATATTTGCAGAGTTATACCTCCATCAACACTATTTAATTCTGGAATATTTTCAATACTTGGAAAAATCTATACTCATTAGCAGGCACGAACCATCCTGTGCCAACCCAACCACTCAGCCCTGGGCAGCTGCTTACTTTCTAATACTTATAAATTCGCCTATTTGGGGCATGTCATCTAAATGGAATAATCAAGGGGTGTCTGGGTGGCTCAGTCGGTTAAGCAGCCGACTTCGGCTCAGGTCATGATCTCATGGTTCATGGGTTCGAGCCCCACATCAGGCTCTGTGCTGACAGTTCAGAGCCTGGAGCCTGCTTTGGATTCTGTGTCTCCTTCTCTCTCTGCCCCTCCCCTGCTC